TCACCACCATAGTTCCAAGGTATCGACTTCTCAGAAACATAGGGAACGGGCCCTGACATTGTTATCTTTAAGGGAACAGATTTTGCAGCTGGTGTAATCTTAACTGACTTTTTGACGACCTCGGAAAGATTGGCGTGAATGGTTATGATTGAGACATTTTCAACATGAACTGGAACGGCAGGAACCTTTTCGAACAAAATTTGTCGGCTATCCATGAGGCCTTGGATGCCTTTCTTCAATAGCGGACAATCAAACGGCAGAGAGTGGCAACAGTAACAGTCTTCTTTACATCCCGGGAAGATCCCGACCCTTAACAAATTCAACTTAATGGTTAGCAGTGGAGTAGTCAGATCGCTAACGTCGGCAACATACAGGTCCTTTTCAATGGCATTGACATTCCGACCGTGCTTCGGCATAGGTGCAGATATCACATTGGGTTTTTCTGGAGCGTCAAACTCTACCTCCTTAGCCTCTATCAGGTCCTGGATCTTATGCTTGAGTGGCCAACAATCATTGGTGTCGTGTCCGACACTGTCTGAATGATAGGCGCATTTAGCATTGGCATGATAATGCGGAGAGGACGTATTCACATTCTTTGGCGCCTCCTTGATAGTGGCAAGATTCAACTTCAATAGATGGGGAAGCACCTGCGCTGGAGTCATATTAATACGGGTGAACTGCCGTTGTGGCCTTTCCACCCGTTGCTGATTTGGTCTGGATTGGTTGTAGCGAGGCGGCTCACTTGGAGTATTTTGAATCATTACGGCCCCTACAGTTGGCCGACGCTAAATCCTAAACGCATGCATCTCTAGAAAGTAAAAAAGAGAAAATACGAAGACCAACAATAATGGAGGATCAGAAACTTACCAGTAGAAGAAGAAGAGATAGAACTTAATGACCGCGAGCATAGAAACTGAGCAAACACCGGTGGTCGACTGTCGAGCTAATACAAGCAGTTGAAAGAGAATGCGAAAAATACTAAACGCCTTGTTCCTCTTGTATTTAAAGCTAGAATAGTCTGCACGTATTAAACACGCGCCTTGTAAACCCTAGGATCGTCATCATGTCACCATAGCCCTAGGTCATCATCACGCTGCCTCACCAGCACGTTTCCCAAAACACTCTACCTCTCCAAATTCAAAGGTTCTAACGGCCAACGCCTCAACTCCCTTCAAGCTAGGCGTAACAGGAAACGCTCGCTCCCCCGTAAGACACTCCTCGTTCCTCAAGAAGATGTCAAATTCATTACTCTTGTACCCAGAAGCAACGACTTGGGGGGCTACTGTTCTAGATTGGCCCAACAACTTGACTGAGCCTGGGCCAATAGATCTCCTTGGGTACGACTCGTACAACCATAACCCGGATCGCCCACACGACCATCTTCTGTCGGGCAATGACAACCATTTGCCCTTCAGCTTCACCACTGGCCCGAGATGATCGATGAGCATCGTCTCTGTCTTCCTGACTCCAACGTCGTGCAGGCCACCAGGAACCGTCTAAAGAGATGCCCTTAATTAGTCCCTTCCTCGGAATCAACGACTAGTTACGCGCACGTCTTCCTACTTTGACCAAGTCCTGGCAGTTACCTGATTTTCTGGACCCACATATCTAGGATGGAAATCAGGAACCAAAGGCCATGCACCAGGGGCATTATATAAACCCTCACAGCTGTGAGGGCCAGGTATCTAATGTTCATTACTCATTACCTGATATTTTTGCTTGTACCTCCCTGTTCCCACTCTTACTTGATCGTCATAGTGCCTTGCAGGTACAACCCCCTTTTTTCCTCGGCTCACAGCCCGAGTGCAGATCATCTTCCGACCACTCTTCAGGTTCTGATCAACCGGAAAGATCACATTTGTTTCATGTTTATGTTATTGTCGTAGTTTAGTGGTAAGTATGTTTCTTCGTGTGTACTGTTTTTCATTTGAGCCATTGCATTTGTTTTCCGTTTTCAAAACTTGTTGATTCATGATATTTTGGTTGACTACTTTTGGTTGTTTGAGTTGTTTGACTTTATTTGAGGACAAACTTGTTCAAGTTGGGAAGATTTTGATAAGTGTAAATTGTAGCTATTTTTGTATATACTTTTTGTTGCACTTATCGACTTTTTTTTGGGGGGGGGGGGGGGGGGGGGGGTATTAGATAGTTTTACATGTCTATCTATCCTTAGAACTGCGAATACTTCCTACTCCTGACAGTGGAGGGATCACGTGCCACTGTACCACCAGCCCGCAACACCTGGTGAGCCTAGCCCCTTAGATAGTTTTACATGTCTATCTATCCTTAGAACTGTTTAAAAAATTATAAATGCTTTAGTTTCACTTAACAACCCCTTGAACCATCTCTTTTTGGTGGGGGGTATTAGATAGTTTTACATGTCTATCTATCCTTAGAACTGTTTAAAAAATTATAAATGCTTTAGTTTCACTTAACAGCCCCTTGAACCATCTCTTTTTGGTGGGGGTATTAGATAGTTTTACATGTCTATCCTTAGAACTGTTTAAAAAATTATAAATGCTTTAGTTTCACTTAACAGTTTAAATTATATCTATGTCCCAAATTAGATCTATCTCCTGCCTCATTTCTGTTACGTTTAAATTGAATTTGTGGATATGATTTCAATGAACAGGTTTTACTTGTTGTGATGTTTGTTTATCCAAGCTAACACATTTTCGATCTATAGCAATCTACAAACTACAACCAATTTTGTCCGAATATAGATTTTAGGTTCTACTCTATAATGATTTCGATTATCACATCCCTCTACTTTTCAATCTGTATTAAGGTGGTGAAATTGTTCCACACAACTCTCAAAACAAGGAAAATGAAAGTCACTACAATGAAGAAACAATTTTCTTACATGACTTAAAAGCTTTAGAAAATGTCTCACTATGTGCACATCACCTTTTCTCAAAGGATTCAAAACACACTCTAGAAAAGATAACATCATAACAAGTGATCTCCATGTATCTATTTGTTTAGCTGGTGCAACTATAGCACAAACAAGAGTTCTTCTGAATTGCGAAAACCCTTTATGGGATGCACATTTTGTTATTTGCTCATCCTGTTCAAAAAGTTGAGTTTCTAGTAAAAGATAACGATATTCTTGGTCCTGAACTTATTGAATACTACAATTTTATTTTCATGTATTAATGTACATAGCAATGATTGATTTTTTTTATTGCAGGATGTTGTCATGCGGATGATGAAGAAACTAAAAAGTTTCTTAAACATTCAACCATTCATTATGTATTATCTCCGTGTTAAGAAGCAATAAATTTAGTATTTTCAAGCAACAGGTGAAGTTAGTTATTTTTGTTTATAATCAACGGGTGTAGTACTTTTTCCCCTTTCCAGTCAGTATAGTATCAATTCAGTTGAAACTTTTGGTCCAGGTTGCGGGAGCCCTCTTTACGCTTCACCAGGAATGTGTTCTATTAGACACTCAAGGTTTTGGGAATAATCAGAAAATAACCACATTTATCGGTGGTTTGGTCTTATGTGATGGCAGATATGTACACCCGAGCATATGATTTTTCAAGATCTAGATACCGTCTTTCATAATGGTTTTCAAAATCATGCATTTCAAGTAAGTTCTTTTACACATTTTGTGAAATTATTCTGATGTGGAATGAAATTTAGCGATTCAATTAGTGTTAGACTCCATCTCTCAATACCTTTCACTTCTTTTTCGATGTGGAACTCAACTACCAGTAGGCAAAATATCTCTCTACTGGTAGACCATGTTGACCAATTTATCTAAGATTGATATACCAAAGGGTGTAGGCTTGGATTGATTATCGGTGGCGTAAAGTGGAGTCGGAGACAGCAGAGCACGTGCTACTGCTGTGTAATAAGAGTATTCAAACTTGGCAAAGTCTGGACATGTGGAGACACAGCATGCGCTGCAGCTAAATAGGAACATTTGGATAGAAAATCCGTCGCATATTAAATTCACTGTCAAAGTAGGAAAGGAGAATTTTTTTATGATATTGTGGAGTAGGAATTCATCAATTTGGGACAACAAATCAGAGAGAGCAGCAGATGTAATACATTGGTGGGAGTTGTTTACAAACGGAGTGGCGGACTGCACGAAAAACGAACATGAAGGATGAGCCAAGACAGCATGTACAACATAAAATGACAACGTTACAGTTGATATCAGAGATGCATTAGGAATGTTGTCAGCATTGGAGTTGGTGCGAGAGCTGGCATTTAAGCAAAGTTGTTCTGTACCTAAATTCTAAAAGGGATGTAGTTTCAGGCCAGCTGTGCGTTGATTATAACGTGTCTTCAATACAGTCAAATTAAAATACAAGTTTAATTGAAGGGAGGTTGAATTGGATGTTGAGTTTTGTTTACAGCACAAAGCCTGACAATGTAAAATGTCCACAGGAAAAAAGATTATAATATTGAACTAGGTTTGATGGGGTGTTCAATGTTGGTGATAAAGTACTTGCCACCAGGTTTCGTCTCTTGATACATGATTGTTTGCTATATCATCTTCAATATAGTTATTTGAATTGAAAGCTTAGGGTTTGATTGTTGAATTGATGATATATTGAAGCTTATCTACTTCAATAAACTACTTTGAGATATCATATCATGCTCAAATAGAGGCCTAGTCAAAGTGTTTTAGATATGACTGAATCAAAATGCTCAACATCCACACTGCTGTTTTTATTGGAAACAAAGATTCATGTGTTGAGAAAATTCCAAAAAGTTAAATAAATTGTGATAAAGATCATGCTCATAGAAGAATTCTCTTTGGTTATAAATATGTAACGCTCTTGGTCATTGTTGTTGATGAAATAGTCATTTCGATGGAGATAATTTCATTGGCCATGGTGGTACCGGAAAGGTTTATCGGGTCGTATTGAAGATAAACAGGATGGTAGTGGCTGTGAAGCAACTAGAGGAAGGTGATGGTATGCTGGCTATTTTAAAGTATATGCCAAATGATAATCTTTTTGAAGCTGTTGATAGAAATATAAAAGATGAGAAGGTTGCATGGGATTGGAATAAGAGGTACAAATTGCATTGGGAGGTGCAAAAAGGATTTGCTATTCGTAGGCATCTTGCTTGATGAAGATTATGAGGCAAAAGTTGCTGAATTTGGTGTTGCAAGGTTGACTGAAAATTCTCAGATGGGTTATAGCTTTTTTGTTGGTACCCATGTGGGGGCACCAAGGTGATGGAACATGACTAAACCTTAACAGGTTGTGTGAGGCTGGTAGCTTAGTAGCCCCTTGAACCATCTCTTTTTGGTGGTTGGGTAGGTGCCTGCCTACTGCTGCTTTTTTTTTGTTCACTTGAAACAGACCAACTTCAAGCATGACGGGTTGGTTCGCTTTGATGGGCCAGGGGGTGTTGGGTACTGTTTATGTTCTTAGAGTTCTTAGGTTCAAACTTCACAAGCCATGAAGCTGAAGTTTAAGCTTTCAAGAAAGTAAGAGGCTGCCTGGATCTTCATTGTATAACACCTTGCAGCATTCACTTTCAGCTTCAATGAGCAAGTGCTTAGGTACTCGACTTCGCTTTTTAATCTCTTACTTCAAATTGTATTTGACAAGTTTTCTATGTCTCTCATTACATATCTCCTGCCATTTTTATATTGTTTTATTCCATTGCCTCTTCTTCATATTCATTATATTGTTTTATTCCATTGCCTCTTCTTCATATTTCATTTATACGTTTATGTTATGTTTGACTGTTTGGAATACAAACACATATTAGATCTGCACTTGACAATGATGATTATCCTAGGCAATTTAATTTTGATTCATACAAAAATAAAAAATAAATTCTTCCTTTCTGATAATACATATTTAAATATAGTTTTAATTGTCTGGAACAAAAAATAACAGGCTGCAGAGCAGTGATACTAAAGAAGTGAATTCTGCAGATGTAATAAAAAATGTGAGTTATAAAAGATAATATACAAATATATATACAATTTTAACAGTTATGAATTCTGAATATTTAAATTAAAAAGTTACAAAAAATTAAAGAATATAAAATTTGAACTAGGTTTGGTGGGGTGTGCCAAGCGATTGCAATAGTGCAACACAAAAGCGACACTAGAGAGACCCAATAGCAAGCTATCGTAGTAGTCTCTCCCCCTCAAGAAATAAATTTAATATCGTGTGGACCATTGGCCCACATATCAGATATTAAACTGATAAGAACAGATACTACACTTGATCTTAGCCAAAAGGCCGAGAAAGGTATGAGGGGAAATACATGCTTGCTGTGCATTTTATATCTGACATCTGATATGATTATTTTCTAACTATGCAATGTGGGACTTTAATGCAATAATTTGGAGTCTACTACTGTGTTCATGTTAGCTCAACACTTCAATAATTTCCTGAAGTGAACTTCAGCTCAACATCTCCAATTCCAGCAACATTAGTGGTGTGGGCATCTCCCAACAACACTTTCTTATCTTCAGTATTCATGTATGTCTTAAACATAGCACGATCATTACAAACATGACGAGAGGCGCCAGTGTCTATCCACCAACCATCACCTCCATCAACCATGTTGACTTCAGTGATCATAGTAATGAATTGCTCATCAGTCAGGTTAACCTGTGCATTTGGGCCAGTAGCAGATTTAGGCCTGCTCTTACATTTCTTAGCCATATGACCCGGTTTTCCACAATTGTAGCAAGTGAAAACCGGAACATCATTTATCTGGGATGGTGGTTGCTTCCTAGGAATTGGAGTATATGGGGCCCTAGAGGGATTCCCATTCTTAATTCGGTTCACAGTATTACGGTTCTGATTCTTTAAAGGTTTGCCCGTAGGCTTCAGAACCGCACCAAATTTCTTTTTGTTGTTTGAAACAACTAAGACTTCATCTTTCTGATCTTTTCTTCGAGCTTCCTCTTCAATTCGAAGGCGGGTAATCAAACTCTCGATTGAAAATTCTTTAGTTTTATGTCAGAGTAAGTTTTTAAAATCTTTCCAACCAGGAGGCAGCTTGTCAATTATAACAGCAATCTGAAATTGTTCATTGAGGGGCATACCTTCAATTATGATTTCATGAGCAATCTTCAGTATCTCGTGGCTTTGAGCTTCCACAGACCTTTCATCCACCATTTTGTAATTCAAGTAGCGACTGACAGCATATTTTTTTGCACCTGCCTCTTCAGTATCATATTTCTTCTGCATAGCCTCCCATACCTGATTAGCAGTCTTGTAATTGCTGTAGTAATCATAGAGATCATCAGCAAGACTATTCAGAATGTGATTTTTGTAGAGGTAGTCATTTTCTTGCCATAAGGCGATTTCTTTTCGGAGCTGTAAGTTATTTGCCGCAGCTTTAGCAGCGGAGTCTAAGTCAGACGTTTTAGAAGTTCAGTCTGATTCCACGGTTGACTTACCATTACTTAGTTCGTTTGATCCAGATGGAGAAACAGGGATATCCTCAGTCAGAACGTGGGCAACCTTCTTCAAAGTTAAGAAAAATTTCATCTTAGGTTGCCAACGTTTGAAATTGGAACCCTCAAACTTAAATGGTTTGTCAGAGACAGAAGCGGCAACGCTAGTACCAATAATTTCCTCAGTAGCCATGGCAGTTATGAAAACGTCTTAAAATTGTAGAAACCGGATTTAAAGAAAATGGCACAAAGGAAAACTATCGGGACGAGTCGCGTACTAGGTCGCTTTCTTTAAGACGTTTCGTCGTACTGCCAATATTAATGCAAAGCAGTCGAGTTTCGACGACGCCTCCAGGATAAAACAGCCCGTTCAAATGACGACAATTACTTGCACTATAATTAGTCGTTCGTAAAATGACACCTTCGGATGGTAGTTAACCAGTCTTAGTATCTGGATACGAAGTGATCCAGTCGAAAATAAGAGAGAAGAAAAATATAGATGAAGGGAGTAATGAGAGAGAAGAGAGAATTGTAGTAGTGAAATCTGGAACTGCCCAAATGAACCGAAACAACTTAATTTATAAGTGAAAAGGTCCAACTGAATGGAACAGGTCTAGTGGGAGAGAATCGTGGGAGAGGTGGAATTGGCTCAGTCAAAGGTGGCCGTTATTTTACTTGGTCAGTCTTGGAGGGCAAGCAAAAACCAATCAATAATTAGGTTAAGACTTAGTCTTTTGTGCAGGACACGTCACCATCTATTAATTAATTAATAATAATATTAATATTAATTAATTAATTTTCACTAATTCGGTTCAAAAAAGATTAATTCATCTAAACCGGACCGGACGGACGGCGGCGGTGCGCGCGCGTGTGTCTAGATGACTTATGGGTGTGTCCTCACTCCTTTACAAAATTGGGTTGCCCCTTGGGGCCCAACCCAATTGTCCAAGTTGGAATATATATACACTACTAGTATTTATGATCCCTCCTATGTGGGACTAAAATGAATCTTTTCAAATTCACTTCCATACTAGTTCTTACTTGTGCTCATTTATTGCCCATTTAATGTCAATAAAATATTCCAACTCCCACTCCAATATTTACATCATACCAAGATTTCCAACAATCCCCCACTTGAATTTAAAAGGTGATTTTAGAAGTACGTCAAACGTTTCTAAGATTGTGCATAAGCAAAGGTGTCTACGACTTGAACCTTTGCGTAGCAAGTAGGATTCTGATTCAACAAGAGTGACACTATTGTCTTGAACTCTATCTCAGACATCAGACCCGCACATAACCTTTTCTTAAGGTGTATTCTAATAGCCCGTGCTTTAATGACCCTGCACGTATATCCCGGTTTAGTGAAAGCTCTAGGAATCCTGCCTCGTAATTCCATAGGAACCGGCCTAAGTTCCACAATCACATAGGTGAGTCTATCAAGAGTACTCCTGTAGCCTAGGTACTCCCTCATACAGAGTATAGATCTCATTAAGAGTTTCTATTATCTCATCCTCTTATTACTTCAGGATTCATGCTTTACTTGCATGATCATCTCATATTACTCATAACTTGTTTATTACCCATTGAACCTATTTCTTGGGATCTCCAGTCATCTAGGTCGGGTTACCATTATGAGCAACTCATTTCTTTATAGGCATTAGTCCCATCCTTTTGCAAGTAAGATAAAAGGCTGTAAGCAGGAACGACAAGGAATGTAAAAAGGAATGTAAAAGACTTTGATTATAAAATGTGGTGTTTCAAACGTACATTCTCAGTATTCTTTCTCACGCAGCGGGTACTCGAATAGTATTGAGTGACTTGTATAATTGGTTGAACACACGGAAAATTTACATAAACTTCCTATATTTATACTAGTAAAAAGTGACTGCTAGACGATTACTTCGATCCAGGATCAGGACAAGTGTCCTTTGCATGTTCTTTGATCTTCAACTTCATGCCACATTGCTTTCTTCAACTGCCAAGTGAACTGCCTTTCCCTCTTATATTCAAATTCGAATTTAAATTGTTGCTAATACGAACACTTCCAGGTCGAAGGCTCTTACAAAATCGAAGCCTTTGGGTCGAATACCCTTTCTAACTTAGAGAATTCTCTAAGTGTTTTTTCCTTCTTAACAAGGATGACTGCGATGGGCCTTTTCAAAGGCTCTCAATTCGAAGTATCTTCAAATTAGACTATGTTTCCAAATCGATGGGTTCTTAATTTAGACTTCCAATATTACGTTAGATTTCCCACTTATTCACTCCATCAGTTTCATGTTTTCAAAAACTATCTCTTCCTCTTCCGCCTCCCTCCTCTTCATATCCTTCTTCCTCTCTCTTCTTCTCTTCATCTTATTGTTTTCATCAAAATAGGATTATTATAAAAGTAAGATAATAGAAATAAAAAAATAATTAGGTTATAAAAAATGATATAAATAATTTATAGACTATTATAAAATTGTAAAAATATAAAAATTTGGCGGGTAAAGGAAGTAGGAAAGTCATGGAAATCTCAGTCGCTCTTATTTTGTTCCCACCGCCAAAATAGTTTTCTTGAACAAACCCTTTTTCATATGATGCAATGACAGAATCATCCAAAGAAGAAGCTTCAAAGGAACCATATGAAGAGTATGAGGTTTGCTATTGCTTTCTAATCAGTAGTACTAGCGTATCATCCATCATCTTCAACATACTTTTTTGAATTCAAAGCTTAGGGTTTGTTTCTCAAAATTCATAGAGCTCTTCAAGAAACCCTTCTTCTTCTTCTTATTGTTACTCAAATACCCATTTCTCAAAATCAAAACCATTCCTTTTTTGTGATCAAAGCTTCATCTGATTTTGAGTCAGAAGCATCCAAAGAAGAAGGAGAAGAAGAACCATATGAAGAGTATGAGGTAGAGATTGACCAACCTTACATTGATGCTACTGCATCTGGTGGGTCAGCTGATAAAGCGAGAGTGTTCAATGTTGGTGATAAAGTACTTGCCACCAGGTTAGATTCTTTTCCGTTTATGTGATGCTTATTTATGTAATGCCA